GATTTTTACCTTTTTTAACAGCTAATGAGTCCATCACCGACAGTCTGACCTCAGACTATATCTTTTACTGTCTGTCAAAGCTTGCTGTCGTCAAGGAGAACATCCCCTCCGACTCAAACAATATCGCCTAAAAGTCATTCTAAGTCTGACAGTTCACCCAGCTTTCTAAACAGAGACTCACTGATACCAAACACACAGAGATCAGAGTAATGAAGAAAAGCTTAGGGGCAAACTAAACCATGTGTGTGGTCAAATAAACTGATTTGTACCGACGGTCAGTAAATTCACACTAGAGCCAATTTCAAAAGTAATTATGTTTACGGCCAGCATGTGTAAAAGCGGCTTTGGGAAGATAGAGAAACACGGAGGGAAACTTTTAGGCAATTAAAAGTAAGGTTTCTACTGTTAATTGAAGTTTCTTCAAATGAACAAAAAAAATAAATAAATCACCCTTTGTCTTCTGTTTCTTTAATTTATTGTTTTATCTTGTCAAAATTGCTAAAAATGCAAATTTGTCATTAGCTGTTTTTTTCTCAGGCTGGAAAATTTGCATCGGCAATAAAACTGCAATTTAGATAACACGATTTCCAGTTTTTAGATTTAGGTTGTTAAATTTTTTAAGGATAAGACACTGACTTTCTCCCTCCAGTCCTTTAGGTGGCAGTAATATGCTTAAATTAGGTTTGCCAATTTAAGTGTTTCTTAGAATGTAAAAAGGACGTGGCTCCTGAGTTGATGAACTAGGCATGAAAGTTACTAATTAATGCTTTAATCTAACGTTGATTGATTATATCAATCAATTTACAACTAATTTCTCTCTCAATATAAGAGGATCTTTACATATGAAGGGCTAAATATTTTATTACAATAGGCTGAAATAAGAAAATAGTAGTACCATTATTATATTTTTATAATTTATAGTTCCAGCTTTATTAAATACTTTCATAATAGAAAGAAAAAAGTATTCCACATTATTAAAGTCATAGATAAGCGGCTGTTCCAACCGTTGCATTTCCGAATTCTCCCGAGTGGTGCACTTAGAAACGACACTGTCAACGAACGCTATGGACAGAGGAAACAGGCAAGAGGAGGAGAGTTTAGTGTCGGAGGTCGTGGATGAGTCTCCTCCGTCAGACATTTGTTATTTAGAGGAGGAAAGCGGGGACAAAGATGTGGAAGAGGAAGCCAAGGCGGCAGAAGCTTGGTTTGGTGTAGAAGGCTTAAAGCCGTACATGTTTCAGCCCTTGCTTCTCAACGCTTTGAGCAAGCATTGTATCGCATCACCTGATCTCATGTTAGGTGAAAAGATTCTATTTGGGGCATGCAGGTGGCACAGCCGTTAAAACACACTACCCATATAAGGAGGCCTAATGATACGTTCACACCGCAAGCAGCAAGAGCAGCAAAAACAAGTTTAGTTCTGATGCGCGGCTGAAGCATCTTTGCTGCTCTGGCTGTGTGGTCTGATGCTTGTTGGGCGGAGCTATCCTATCCCCTCTTTGCCTGGAAAAATTGCAGCTATATTTTTTTGTGATCAGTAGTTTTAATATGGTCTTCAGTGAGAAAGTCCACCTGAAAACTTAATCTATGCAGTCAGTTCATCCAGATTACCATCCTGCCTTCAAATGTTATTTCGCTGTGGGAGCCCCTCAGACCCCCACATACCAGCAGTGCACTGTCACTAGGAATCCCATTCAACAGCAGCCTCTGGCCCGGTCGCCTCTTCACGGTTTGCTGCGGCAGATGGAAGGCATTTTTCATATAAGTAATCTGCAAGCTGCAGGCAACAGGATAATAAAAGCAAACATGTTTTGCCGGCAGAATTAGGCATTTTAAATTAATTTAGGCGTTAATAAACTGTTTCAGAGGAGTTATCATAGTGATCTGTATCATCAGTGCTGTGTCAGTCTCCCTGCCAGCTCCCAGATCAGCTTCTCTGTTTGGTTGATGTGGTGCGTCGAGCAGCAAAAGTTAAATTTTTCCAACTCCAGCAGCAGCTGCGTTTGCAGCGCGTCCCGCACATCAGATGCTCAACAGCTCACGACACTGCTTCAGCTGCTCTGACGCGCTGCGGGATGTTTTGCTGCTCCTTGATGCACGTCAACCATTGGCTTTGCATGTAAACTAGCTGCTCCTGCTGCTTTTGCTGCTTGTGGTCTGAACGTAGCATAAGTCTTCGACGCAGCTGACCCGGGTTCGAATCCAACCTGTAGTCCTTTGCCACATGTCTCTCCCCCTCTCTCATACCCCCTTTCCTGTCAGCCTACTGTCGAAAAAACAAGCCACCAGTGCCCTAAAAACTCAAAAAGAAAAAAAATCTATTTGTTGTCAATAATCTATGAAAGAAATCCCAGCTAATGTAATAAACTGTCTATTTATATTCGTAACAGCTTGTATCACATTCCATTGGTACGAACCGCTGCCATCTTGATACAGAAGGTTAAACAGTGTAAACATTATTGCAGCACTGAAAAAAATGTTGTTCAACCTGCATGCAGCCCCTCTTGCTCCAAGAAAACCCCCAGATAATATGATCACTCTTTAATTTTTTTTTTTTGTGGTCTTTGATTATATTGAAGATGGGGCTAAATGGCCGACTGCTGAAGGAACAACTCGACCAGGGAGGAACTGATCCACATTTTTGCACTTTTCATTCCAATACTTAAATTAGGATATCATCAGATCCTGATACTTCTCCAGTACCAGAGCTGTTTACTTTGACATTACTATCATTATTACTTCTGATTTCTGAAGAGGCTGTCATGAACTCCTCTCTGCAATTAAGTTTACATAAGAATTATGGATTCACAATATCAACGGCCTGGTATCGTTATCAGCTGATATTCTTCAGGCCATTCACCAGGCCATTTCACCAATATAATCCACCAATATATAAGGCTATTTTTTTTTTTGCAAAATCTTTTTTTCAAAAAATTTATGCAAGCATTTCACATGCACTAAGATGATGCTTGAATCTGTCAGAACAGTGTCGCTCATCAGCCATTTGGAAAATAGCTGCAAATCGGATATCTGATAAAATTCCATTATTTGCATCACTAGTATTATTGTTCACATGTATATCCTAAAGACAGCTCATTTCTAAAACATTGTGCCTAGTGAATTGGTAAGAATTTGGTGATACGATATGCAACACAATATCATTTACCCGAATATATCCTGATACACTTATATAATAATAATATAGCTCTGGAAAACCTCATGAATCGTTGTTGCTCTGCCGCAACGATGCAGAGCAGCTGAGTAATCAGCTCTTAGGCGTTGCATTGCCATCTAGTGGCTGGAGGTTTAATGGTTATATAAAAGTAAGACAATGAAATGCATGTTTACATATTAATATTTTTTACATTTAAGATTAATTCGGCCATATTATAAATCAATACCATCATGATATTGGTAATTACTATTTCATTCTGCATATAAGAAGATATCGTTCATACAGATCATACACATAAATACACATACCATATACGTTTAAAAGTAAATGAGTTTTGTGTTTCTCTGTAAAACTTGCAGATATAACAAACTACATCAACCAATCAGGCAGCACAACTGCAGGCTACGACAAATTGATGGCAGTTTCTGCCAAACGTAGAATAAAACAATCATCTTTAAATCCCTCCAGAGAGGACTTCCTACATTTCAACAGATCAATGCAGCTTCTGCTTCTCCATTCTTTATACTTTCTGCCTGACTTGTCTTCACATGTTTATAGGTTTAAAAGGTGCCGTTTCTATGGAAGTGCATAGGGCCATTGGGAAAAAAATTGAAAAAGTTAACTAATTTTAATTTAATTTTAGTCTGAGAATTCTGAGGGTTTTTTCCTATATCAAACTCAGATTTAAAAAAAATCTGTTGACTTTTTTTCCTTTTTTTTTCCAGTGGCTCTAATCTTCTTCTGTAGAAAAAGTCAGAATTCTAACTCTAATCTTTCGTTCTTATTAAGATTAAAGTCAGACTTCTACGAAAAAAAAACTCAGAATTCTGAGATTAAAGTCAGAATTCTGAGATTGAAGTCAGAATTCAGAGAAAATAAATCTGAATTCAGAGGAAATAAATCGGAATTCAGAGGAAATAAATCGGAATTCAGAGGAAATAAATCGGAATTCTGAGATTTAAGTCAGACTTCTGAGACAAAACTCAGATTCCTGAAATCAAAGTCTGAATTCTGAGGAGAAAAAAACAGAATTTAGAGCAAAAAAATCAGAATTCTCTTTTTTTTCCCTCATCAAACTCAAAAAAAGACAAAATCAGTTAACTTTTTTTCCCTAATCCTCTTCTGTACATTTTTTCTTTAATGCTCCCCAAAAGAAAAAGAAAAAAATAGCACTCAGGACCTCACAGAACACCTGTATTTATACCTAGAAAAAAACATTACAAACATAGACGCTAACTTCTGAACACTGGTTGCTCTAGATTTTACAAAAAAAAGAGAGAGAATTAAATAAAAAAAACAACACTTTGTGACATTATTTAAAATGACAACAACTGTTTTCTATTGATGAACATTGGACCTACTCTAGGTTAGTCACATCAGTCTACAGCCATAATGTGTAAAACATGCATAGTAGGCTAAATGTTTTAGAACCATAATTGTGCTGTTTCATCACATCACATTTCCCTCCTAAAATAAACAGATTTTAGTAAACTTTAGCAGCAGGAAATTTATGCATTATATGCTGACAGCTTAGTGATTTGCAACCAGTGGGAAAAGCTGTGATTTTTCCATTAAAGTACCAGTTCAGCCTGATAACTGAATGATTAACTCCATGTAATGAATAACACAGGGATGGTGCATCAGGCTGCCCTGCAAGCAATGTTTGGATGTCATTGTTAAAAGCTATGAAGGACCACTACCTCACCACTGCTCACTAATGAGCTGGAAAGTCTGATTATTCACACTCAGCTCCAGAAGTGACACTTTAAACTGCCAGGAAATAGTAAACAGACTCCAGGAGGAGGTTTAAGCTCCTTCTACTCACGTTCCCAGGACTTCTTTGAAATCAAAGATCTTCTTGATGTCATCGACCTGTTTCTTCCACGTCTCTCCGCTGCCGCCGGTGTCTCCGTTCTCCCGGGCCATGACGCTTTTCCACCGGGGCCCCAAGTCTGGCTGAGACCGCAGGAAAGGCTTTTATTTCCGATAAAGACACAGCAATAGAATATAAAAAAATAGAACATGTAAAAAAGGAAAAAAGGAGGGATAAGTTGGGTGTTAGAGGAGGTGGACAGCTCCGGTGCTGAATGATCCGCTGCAGCAGGACCATGTGAGCCCTACTGCAGGTTCCCCCTGTCCCTGCTCATCCCTCCCTCCCTCAGCTGTCAGGTTCACCATCACATTAAGACGCTTCCGGAAGCTCTTTCAAAATAAAAGCTTGCTGCTCCACCAACCACAAACGAAAAACATAATTAAACAAATACTTAAAAGTAGCATTAAATATTTTATACCTAAAATAATGAGACCCAGCGATTACTCTCCCATGAATCCATCTATTTAAATTAGGAGTGTAAGAAAAAAAAAAAAAATTCTATTAAGCGATGGCGTAAATGGCCCCTGTCCTCTTAGGGGCCCCATCACTGACACCTGATAGGCCCCTACACAATTGAAGACTAGGACGTTTCTTTGCAGATGTAATGATGCATAAAAACCTTTAAAACCCACCTGATACTGAAGTGACTGACCGCACCAGACCATATTTATACCCCAACACATGGCAGATTTCACCATGATGGTGAGCAGTTTAAACACCACATCAATAGTAAAGCAGACAGTGGTACTTTTAATTACTATGTTAATAACTGTGTATAGTTCATTAGACGGTTGGTAAAAAAATACACTCATATTATGTTTCAAACCGCAATAAAGATCCTAAAAGAATGATATATTTGAGTATTTTGTTTTTTTACACTACGGCTTGGAATTATGGGTAATCCAGAGCGTAGATTGAAACCATAACCATTACGTACAATGTGTTAGCGACAATAGATACCAAAAAGAGGTACTTAAGCAGATTCCAAAAAAGAAAAAGGAAAAAAGAGATTCTGGAAGAACGGAAAAAACTTCCCAAAATAAAGACATTTTTTTACGGAACCGAAGAGGGAGAGGTGGACGTTGCTGATGTTCTAAATATGCAAGGTGGTGTTTTTGTGTAATGCGAGTGAGGGCGTGCAGACAGTACAATAATTAATGCATCTTGTGCGGATTAGAACTTCTGCGATTGCGCAGGCACTGGTCGGGGGAGGTATCGTCATTGCCAATTTATGGAACTGTCGCCGTATCCTGAACCTTTATCACGTGTTGTACTTCATATGGGGCCCATCCAGATAATGTTGCTTATTGTTGTGTCGTTACGCCATTGGTGTTAAGTATCATGCAATATATCGTCTTTTTCAAAATCCTATAGTTACACATGTATTGTGATATAAATCATATCGCCATTTGTTTGCCAATTTACACCCCTAGTCAGATTTACGTGTGTACATTAATACTAGTGATGCAAGACATTGGAATTTTATCTGATACCCGATTTGCCGATATTTTCCAAATAGCAGATGAATGATAATGATCTCTTTTTTATCTTGACCTTCTTACAGACATTGTGTAGCACCACCAGCAATTTTACTCCACTATCTCTTCTGTGACAGATTCATGGGGCGGCTGGCAGCTGGACAAGATTTTCGCTCTGCCATAAAACAACTGGGACACACCGGACAGACCTTCACACACAGATACTCACATCTAAGGGCCTTTCAAAGAAAGCATTTAACCAAACTCCAATGTTTTCAGAATGTGAGAGAAAGCTGGAGTACCTGGTGAGAACCTACATGATCACTGAGAGAATCCAGGCAACAGAGCCATTCACTGCACCTTTACAGAGTCCTACCCTACCAACTAATAAGTGCTCTGATTATGTTACGGTGGGATTAGTTGCATCATGCTTTTGTTTTAACGTAAGTTTTAACTGCTGGCTAACTCGCAAGTATATGGATTGAATTGTTTTCGATTATTGTTGCAAGTAGAAAACCCTTTTAGAATGTAATGGACATTTGGAGGGGAAAAAAGTACATTTTAATCAATAAAAGGTTTGAAGATAAACCTTTCTTTGAAATAGTTTTTTTAAACATTCTTTTTACAATTTATTTATAACTATTTTACAACTTTTTATAACTACTTTTTTTACTGTTCTTTCCAAATATTTCCATACAGATTCTATGTTTTATCAAATGTTTTTATATATTTTAAAAACAATATTTGTTTTACAAACAACATTTTAATTGTCAAATGTGAGCACTGTTGGATGGGTTTTGCAGTGAAGAAAATGTGCTAGGTGAAATATAATATTAAAAGAACGCAATTTGTAAAACAACCGCCCTGTCTGTCTGTGTCTGCCTGTAACCTTCTATTGGGTTATATTTCATATCTTATCTTGAAAATATCTTCTCAGCACTTCCTACATAAAGCAACTTCAATGTGTAACTTTATGGAAATTTTAATTCCACCTGCAAGTGTCTAAATGCAGTTAATTGATGCCCATCCTGCTGCTGGATGGGCTCCCTGCCCTCCAGGAAAGTGTTTCTATGTTCTTCCTCATCTCTGTTGATAACAACCACCCTCCAAATACATTGAAGAAAGGGGTGATTGCAGCTGTGCACATTGTCCTGATAGTAAAAAAGCAGCTGATGGGATGCTGCCCTTGCTTACCGACTGACAGATGTGTGTGTGTATGTGTATGGGGGCATTCGCAATGCACCAATTTGCTGACAACAAACGTCATGCGTCCATATCATTCTAGTGCAATCCCCAAAGGCTTTTAGGTGTCTCTGCTAAGCCCCCCTCCCCCAGAGCTCATCAGGGAGCCCAGCTGCAGCAGCTGCACGCTCACCTGGATTACCAAAAACATGAGGTTAAAGAGAGGCATATTTAGCCCCAGCTCTGCGACAGCTGCAAAGTGGAGAAGGGAGGGCGGGGGGGCTTAGGCCAGCTAAGGTCAAGCACAGCTAAAGCATTCGGTCTAGACGAGGCTTTTGGCCTCAGTGTGTCTCTATTTGTATGGAATGCTCTAAGAAAACCCAAAAACAGGAAGAGGGGGGAGGGCAATGTGTTGCAACTCCTCATGAGTATTCCGGCTGCAAGCTACTGCAGCTCTTCCTCAGCAGCAGCCTTGGAAAACTCCCCTCGCTCAGCCCCCCCTCTCCCATCCATCCCTCTCTCCTACTCATCCTAATCCTTTACTCTGAGTCAGCAGCTCTCATCTCGCCTCCGATGAAAGATGATTACCAAGCTGCAGAGGAAAGAGGAGAGGAGGGCATCAGGGATGGGGTAGATCCAAGCTGAAGGTCAAGGAAGACCAAGGGTTAAACAGAAAACTTACTAACATTAACACTGAATTATACTTACTGTGATGACATTTTATTCACATTCATCTGCATGAAAGTAACGCTCATTAAAATGTTTAGAGTGTACTAGCTGAGCCAAAATGTGTAGTCTGTGAAGTCCACAGAGCCTCACTTCAACAGTTTGAAGTCAGGTGTCATCTGCATACAGGATGTGGATTGGTGCTGATGCATTCCTGGAGTTCATTACTCGGTTTTAACATAAAGAAAAGCGTAAATATATAAAAAGTAAAAGCATTCCAATGAGCTGTGTTCCACACTGGGAGGCGAAGAACAGCAAGAGTCTGTTTTTATGACAAGAGTTAAGCTCAAAACACAAGAATTGAAATTCTTCCTGGAGTTACCTTCTTTAAATCCTGAAAGAGATGTCAATCATTGACAACTCAGATAGAATGGACATCTCTTTCATCATCAACGCATTCGTGGCTTAAAGAGATCTGGATGATTACTGCCACCAATTTTAGCTGCAGACCTGCACTGTAAGGTCTCCTGCACTGTCAGAACCAGAAGTTTATTCAAAGCCTATCAATGTAAAAGTGAAATAAAACAAAAGCTTGTATACCGGAAATATTTTACGTTCCTGTGTTTATTTCTTGGGTCTTCATAACAGAAACATTTTTGTCTATTCATGTGTTTAATAAGTTATATTTATAATCTCTTTACAGTTTAACTGGAAAAGGTCAATATTTGCAATAAAATGTCAAATGTACATAATTAACTCAGTTTTTTTATACAGGCATTTCTTATGTGTGTTTGCAATTATTATATTAAATATTCTTTATTTTCTTTATATATTCTTTATTATTCTATGTTTGTGCAGGAGAAAACAGTAGACACAAAACAAACTTTCGAATATCAATTTATTCTATTGTCTTGGAAATGTTTTTGTTGCTGAAACATCAGATATCACAGCATGACAGGTAGCATTTAAATTTTGGCAAAATACAAAACAATGTCTTCTTTTTCTAATAAAATCCGGAAGCACGTACGTGCTACGCACTATTCCTGAAGGCTTCAAATATAGTGTCCGGAATAAACTTTCGGTCCTGACAGTACAGGAGACCCCATTGTGCAGGTCTGCAACATCTTGACAGTCCACACAGTGCAGCTCTATGTCCACACAGTGCGGCTCTGGGTCCACACAGTGCGGCTCTGGGTCCACACAGTGCGGCTCTGGGTCCTGACAGTGCAACTCTGGGTCCTGACAGTGCAACTCTGGGTCCTGACAGTGCAGCTCTGGGTCCTGACAGTGCAGCTCTTGGTCCACACAATGCAACTCTGGGTCCTGACAGTGCAGCTCTGGGTCCACACAATGCAACTCTGGTTCCAGACAGTGCAACTCTGCTTCCTGACAGTGCAACTCTGGGTCCTGACAGTGCAACTCTGGGTCCACACAGTGCAACTCTGCAACCAGACTTTTCTCAAAGAACCAGTTCCAAGGAAACCACTTGTGATGATCCTAAAACTAAATGCAGCAAAATCTTAGATTTTCTTGGATTCTAAAAGAACCTAGTTACAAAAAATCTTAGGGCTTATGACAGCTCCCGTTGTGAGGAGGAACCTTTAAATCTGAGGCCAAATTGTTGCTCTCGAGAACTCGAGAGAACTTCTGCGGATGGTGACGAGAACTTTGGCGGCACCAACGGGAGTGTATATCTTCCAAAACAACTATGGAGCATCTGCAAGATATCGCTTTCACAGAGATGGATCTAGAATTGATAGACATCGAAGAGGAACAGGTTCTATCAATGGAGTTAGCAAAAAGACAAAGGAGGACGCGTAGGTTGTCCATTGTAGTTTTTCCTTGTCTGTGCACTTCCGCTTGAGGTCTTGAGGTTTGCGACCATCTCACGTGTGGTCAGGATTTTTTTGAGGTGCACGACGACGGTTGCAGAACCTCTGCGCGGGGGGCATGGTCCCGCACAGTGACAGATTTGACGGTTGCAGAGGCTATTCGTCAGAAGCATAAATCGGCCATAAGCCTATTTGGATTCAACATAGCAGTGTGGAGTTTCTTTCTTAGCCTGGATAGAGTTTGTACTGTTGACCCCTACGAAAGGTGAAATAACAGGACCTACAACTTGCTCAGCTCACTATCAGTCAAGTGAGTTCTTTCCAAAATGTCCATAACTGCAGCTAGGCAGTATATATGATTTCCCACAGTCCTTTGCGTGGCAGGATGTTTAAACACAGCCAGTATTTTGGGACATTTACTCTGTGTGTCATATATATATGTAGATATGTAGACATATGTTTTTGGTTTTACAACACTTAGCTTTACCTGTTTACTGCATTGTAGAACTTGTTTGTAGTTTTTCCCCCCCGAAATGTTGTACTCCAAATGTGACCAGCATCATTCAATGTTGATGTCCGTCATGTAATGAAGTCCTCCAGGCTAAAAGCTGTGTGGATTCAGCACAGCAGTCTGGAAGTCTTCCCTTGGATAATGTTTTTACTGTTGACTCCGCAGAAAGTGATGGATAGGAGCCAGGAACAGGAGCTACAATTTACTAAATCTAGAATCAGCCAAAGAACGTCTGAAGGAGGGGATATGGTGGAAGCAGAGAGCTAATTAGCTGATCCACCTCCTAAAGCGGGAGCAGATTGAGCATATAAACTTCTTCAACAATCATACAATGACTAGGCCTGATTAGAGGCACCCAAACAAGGAAAACATTATAGCATCATTAGCTTTTCACATCAACGCTGGGCTGGAAACAGGGTGTGATTGGGATTCCTCGAAATGTTCTTTGATGTATTATGGTCTCTTAGTCAGCCCAGACAGTTTTCCACATTATCTTGGGCATATTACCAGGCAAATGTGATGTCCTTTTAATGAACACTAACAATACTTGTGCTTTCTATTCTGTTGCATGTCAACAACAGCTACCCTGAGCTACAGGAACTCTGAATTCATCCACTACCTCCTTCGCTGAATGATTGCTCCATAAATCCTGTAAAAGGCAGGGGACTGGGGCGGGGGGGTGGTTGGGTTATTGGAGCCATGTCCCACACCCGCACAGCTCATTTAGCTCCCAGCGTAATGAGAAACGTTGTGTAAAAAGCACAATCAATTTCCTATGCTCTTGTTTACTGCGCCCGCTGGACTGACAGCCAGTCAATATATGACAAGAAGTTTAATGGGTATTTTTTAGGAAACTCGTCTCCACAGCGATGCATGATGGGTAGAAACGGGACGCGGCGAAGCGCCCGGGGCAGCTGGGAGCAATGAGTGTGTCAAAAGGGCTCAGTGGGAATTAGGAGAGAAGAAGCTGGGAAGCAGAAATAGATTAAAGATTACTTTTAGTGATGGAGGGTTTTAATGGTAAACTGGGAAGTTCATTTTTCTCCAACCCTTCAAACTGCACTGACTGAAATTATTTCAAAATAAAAGGCATCAATACAAACAGAGCAATGTAAACACAAGATCATCTTTTCAATGTTGAAACAAAAAAAAAAGAGACTTTTTCCTATTTTTATATAAACATAATATCATTTCTGATCAGGAATAAATTCAGACACCCGTGCTTCTATTCTAAAATCTGTGTCTCACATCAGCTGCACATAAAAACAAAATTACTCAGCATTTTAGAAAGCCTGAGACTTTTTTCTTTTGTGTTCTGTTGAAGTTAGTGAGAGTTAGATCCACACTACTGTCTGACTGTAGCATCACATGGGTCTGCTATGGGGTTTAAAGCATTTAAAGCAATCATCTCACTAATGAGAAAATGATCTAGAAGAGGAAGTTTAAAGAAATCAACATCCTGTCTATGAATGTTTAGCATGAAAGAAGTTCACAAGATGCTAAAAGAGGCCCACAACATGGCATCATAGGCATAGCAGAAAGACACCAACTTTCATGGGACATGTAGAAGGAGGAGAGACTTTTGTTTCATATATATATATATATATATATATATATATATATATAAATATATATAAAAGACCAACCAAAATACTTAGATTGATGCTTAGAACACATTTTGGAGCTAGAAATATGAAGGGGAAAAAAATCCAGTAACAAAACTTTGAAAAAGATTGCAATCAAAAGGTTTTGAGAATATTTTTCTCATGTATTTTTTTTTTATATCAAAAAAAATATATTTTAATAGATTTTGATGTCCTTCCTTCCATCCATTTATTTTATTTTTTATTTATTTTCTTATTTATTTAATCAGGACAGAGCACATTAATGAACAATCTTATACTTCTGTACAGATTGTAAATGAGCTAGATTACACTATAGTTGCTAATTTACATCTGTCGTCCTGAGGCAGGAAGACAAAACAACACAAGATCACATAAAACAATATCAGACAAAACAACCATCTATCCCATATGGTCACCGCCTATTCTGGAGCTTTTCCAAGTTGTCAATGGGTGAGAGAAAAGGTACAGCCTGGATAGTCTGCCAGAGCTTTTGATAGCTTCTTTTCAAATTTTTAGAATTTTTTTTTTTATAAAAACTAAATTAATAGACTTTGATGTCTTCTTTTCAAATGACAGAATGAGTTTTACAACTCCATTCTTTTCAGAATATGTTTTCCAGCTTGCATTCTCTTCACCTCTGGGGGCGGGCTTTTCTCTAGAGCAGCGGTCCCCAACCACCGGGCCACGGACCGGTACCGGTCTGTGGGTCATTTGGTACCAGGCCGCACAGAAAAAAAAAAATAATGTTTTTATATAATATATATATATATAAAAAAAAATAAAATATATATATATATATATATAGATATATAAATTTATTGACAGAGGTTAATACAGTTCAAGACTCAACCTATCTATAACATCCGATCTTTGTGAAGCTGACAGCCCATCGGGTATTTAAAAACAAAACACTCAAATTATTTTTTAACTAGAAGATTTTTCAAATTTCCTCTGTTAAATATCAAATTACAAAAAAAGGGTTTTTGACAAATTTCTTTTTTACAAAGCATGTATTTTGCCTGCAACAATAATGGAACAAAATTCCCTCTATAGATTCACTTCAGATCTGAAATATAAAAGAAGCTTTAACATGTTCTCCTTGATCATTTATTTTATTTTTCCCATTTATGGAATAAATCTTTTCTTATTCAACACAAGACAGGATATTGATCCCTCTTTCCTCTGAGATGCTTTCTGTATTAATGGATGGATCAAAGTCGGACTAACAGGGAATGTTTGTGGTTGGAGGAAGACCAGGTTCTCTGGACAGAAGTTAGTATTTGGAGACTAGAACAGCGCCCACTGAAAGCCCTGAAATCTTCCTTTAGCTTTTCTTATAGAGTCTTATATTTTCTTATATTAATACTTGTTAAAATTAACAATATTTTCCGATGGAAAACAAATGAATTAAACCAAATAGTTGCCAACTAAATATCTACATCGAATCAAAGGTAATGGTGTCAAATCAAAAGTCACCTGCGTAAATGTGACTCTTTTCAAAATGGTCCAGGCCAGCGTTACGACGCCGTGAGCAAGGCTGCAGAGTTACATTATTAAAATTGAACTAAATGTACAACAGTGGTTCAGAATATTAGATCTTTTAATTAATTTAAATGAGAATTATCAGTTTGAATCAAATCAGAGTAAAACTGAGAAATTAAGCTGCAAGAAATTAGTTTTTTTTTTTTTAAGTTTAAAGTAAAAAATAAATAATTTCAGGTGTGAACGTAAAATGATAAGCACGGACAGGGAGGTGTCATGATTGGGGGAATCTCTGCTGCAGCAGAATCAGACCAGCTCTATCTCATGACGTCCACCGTCTTTGATTAACTAAAAGTCGACACTGCGACATAAAAACGACCCATAAAATCACAGTGGATCCAAGAGCCGAGCTGAGAGATGAAAGAAAGGAAACACATGAAAAGAGTAAAAGGTTCATTTTACTTGTTTAGATGCAAATAAAAACAAAAACACTTAAATATGTAGAGAAGCCTGCATTTAATTTGTTTTTTTTCTTCTATCCAACCCTCCAGAACTGATAGAAGAAATGACATCACTATATAGAAGCAGGCGATATCTATGGAGCGTAACGTCCTCCAATCAGCTCTGCTCAGGATTATAAGAACCGGACAGAAGAATCGGATCATCAGGAGTCGGCAGCATGATGCTCTAATATTAATTATAAGTCCTGCTTCAGAGCAGAGTGCTCGCTTCTGACCGACGTGTGAGAAGAACAGCATGAGCCGAGGAAAACAGATGGCAGACATCACTGTGGAGGATTTTCCTCCTCTTCAGATTCCTCTTGCTGGCTTTTCTTCTGCAAGCAGAACAATAAAAACATTTTAATTAAGCTTTATCGTCAAGTGAAGCGTCTGAACCAATCCAATCAGTAAAATAACACAGATAACGTTCCCTCTAAGATAATTGCACATTCTCGGCACACAAGAACATCTGTGCAGCGCATAAAATCCAACAAACTGTAAATCAATCAAACCAATTGCATGTTTTTTTTGGACCATATTGAATCAATGCATCAGCTGTTTCTTTTTGTACTTAAAACCAACAATAAAAATACATCAAACAATTTATTTCGATTTTCATTAGAAAAATTGAGTTCCAATTTATTTTCTATAGTACGTCATACTAAATTCAATATATCTGAAAAGCAAATTAATAGAGAATATATTTATTTTTCTTTTGTGTTGTCCTCTTATAGTCTCATCTTTATGAGCGCTATCGCTAATTACCTGCTGGGTGCTGGGTGTGCAAGCGGGCTTTATTTAATAAACAAACTCAGCTGTTGTGGCTCACAATCTACTCTCTAATACCAATTTAAAATGAAAATAAATCACTTATTAGTCGGTTTTATGGTAAAAACATTTTAAAAATGTTATAGTTGTAAATGGATGAAAACATTTGATTAAACATCAGTGTCTTTTAAAACAATAAGTTTGGCAAATGTCCTTATTCTGCTACAGATGCATCATAATCCAACAGGAAGATGAAAATGTGGAAAATCATTTATCAGTCTTTGCCTCCAGAACCATAAAACTTACAGCTGAACTCACAACGGGAGACTTTTGATAAAATGAAAGTAACTTATAGTGATAATGTCCAATAATATAACCATGTAAAACATTTTGCAAGGTCACATAACAGGCATCATCACCATAAATTACTTTATTTTCATCAAAAGTCTCCCGTTGTGTGCGTCCTTTCAAATGCAAAAACCCAGACTTAAATCAGTTTTAACCAGTAAATCAGAACCAAAGTTAGTTCAGATCTGTGATTTGCTATTTAATCTATAGATTTAAATAACGCCACATGCAAAATTTCAGCTCGATCAAACATCTGGAAGTGGATCAGGGGCATTACTTATTGAATGCCCCTGGTAGGTAGAAATTTAATTATACAGTGAGACATAAATGTATATATCTCTTTTAATTAGCTGAATTAGACACAGCCCTTCCTCATTTGCATAATGAGGCAGAAATAAATAGCATTGAAGTAATAAATAGGGTAAAAAAATACAAAGGAAGAATAAAACAAAAATATAACATGCACATAAATAAATTATTAAGATAATATGTAATTAAAAATATTTGAAGATTATAATGGACAATAAATAAATTGGGTAATATTACAAAGGCCAATAAATAAAGAAGCTAATTAAAAGAGATTCATATATTTATGCGTCACTGTATAATTTAATTTCTACCTACATTTGTTTGTTTATTGTATTTATCTTTAAATATGGTAGAGCTGGTCCTCCATATATCCTGAAATAGTATCAGTGATTAAGAAAGGCAACATTTAATCCTTTTCTTTGTTTTTGCAGAGCAGCCAGAGCACCGTGTGAATCTGTGGAACCTCTCTGCTGTAGGTTGTTTAGGTTCAGAGATCCACATTTTTCTCACTTAAATTAATACAATCATTTGATACATCATTATATTTATTTTAGGGCTGCAATTAATGACTATAATTATCAATTTTGCGAATATTATTTTTATTCAATTCTTCGATTAATAATCGGATAGAAACAATTAAACCAGGTGAAACTAAAACTTTTCAACTGAAGTTCTGGATAGAGAAAACATTTTGTCGATCATTATGATCTGACAGACAAATCAATATGATCTTAAATGCAAAATGTTCACGTTTTTTAATTCTTCTTTAATTACTGCTCAAAGTGTATATATTTTACATATTTTATCGTCTCTTTACTCCAGTTAACGATTAATCGATTACTTAATTAGTTGACGATTATTTCAATAACTGATTAATCCAATAAAATTTTCAGCCCTAATTTACATTACACAAAATATAATTTTCATGTTTATAAACAATTAAAGAGAACCATTATGAACAGATTTACATGAATAAGGCAACTTATTTATTTATTTGTTTTCAACAACGTCCAGTGGATTGTTTTTTTTAACTTTTTTGGAATGAATGACCTGGATGATTGAGAATCTTTACCAGTATCTAGAAATATTTACACATTTAAAGAGGCGGTTTTTACATTTATTAGCTTTAGTCTGTTTAATTTAAAAACAGATTTGTTTTTTTACCCTTTTGTTTAATTTAAAAAGGAAAATTTGATTTAATACTTTCTACCAGTAGCAGTATCAATAATCCTTAATGATTCCCATCCCTATTGCTGGCATCTTTCTATCATCAAGATTGTTTTAAATGATCACCATGACGATGAATAAAACGTTTCCTAGCCAACATCGGCACCTACCAGCTTCAGGAAGTCGATGAGCTTGTAGGCGTCCTCTCCGGTAGAGAGGTCTACGAAGTCCCGGGGGATCCTGTAGCTCAGACAGGGACTGGGCTGCACCGTTACCTCGCTCGTAGTGTAGCGGAACGCCGGACCCTCCTGCGCATCAGACGATATCTCTAATGGTCGGGAAGGAGAGCGCTGGGTATGGATGAAGGCTCTGTGTTTGCTTACCTGCTGCTGATGGGGGATTTCCCCACCAGACATCAGCTCCTCCCAGCTGAACAGCAGCGAGTCGGTCACCTCTCCAAAAGGGTTCAGGTCGATGAGCCAAACCCTCCCCTAAGAAAAGAAAACAGAACAATTAAAGCGGCTCTAAGAAGCATCCTGATTAAGGACTCGTAAACATTCATGAACTATAGGGCTCTATCAGCAGGTAAAGTCAATTCAGTTCTAGACTTTGACTAGGCCACTTAATACATGGCAGGAAATGTTGTAGCCCTGGTTTGATTTGAGGGTTTTTATACTGCTGGAAGAGAAAGGAGAATCCCAAACAGCATGATGCTGCCACCACCATGTTCCGCCATGACTCTGCGCTCAGGGTGATATGTACGGAGTTAAACTAGGGCCATAAATTTTGAATAAAAAAAATAATCTATATATATGTTTTTTTTATTTTTGCTATTTTTAAGCTGTAAAAAATATATTTTGTAAAAAGATTTAAAACTAAAAAAAATACTTTTTTAAACTGAAAAGAATTAAAAATTTAAAAAATTATTTTAAGACTAAACAGAATTAAACTTTAAGTAATGTTAAATTTAAAAATAAAAGTTTAAACTGAAAAGAAATTTTGAAATAAAAAAAACAAAAAACTGAAAACTAAAAAAAACATTTAAAACTGAAAATTTTATATAAAAACAAAGAAGTGAAAAACTTGATTAAAAAAATTTGATAGAAAAAAAATTAGAAAAAGAAAAGAAATAAAAAAAATAACTTCATAACTAGAAAATATTTTTGAAACCAAAAAGAACATATATTTATACTGAAGAGTAGTTTTTGAAAGAAAAAATATTTAAATCTAAAAAATAATTTTGAAATTTGGAAAATATTTTGAAAGTTAGAAACACTAAAACATTAAAACTACTTTAGAATCCAAAATTGTTTTGGTTTCAGATTTTTCTTAGTTTTAAAGTTTTCAGTGAAAGACAGACATTTTTTATCCTAACCAAAAAAGATCTTTTTATAGTAGGAATCATATTTTTATCAGATGAGATGAAGAATTCTAGTTAACAGGATCTAGATAACCTGACCACCCCCTAATCTAATAGAGAAGTTTATAGAGAAATAGAGTTTAAAAGTTTTATCATGAAAAATGCGGAAATATTGATGTAAAAACAGGTAAATGAGTTACCTGACAGTCTCTGTACACGTCAAACACGACTGCGAATGAAAAAACAGAAACCAGCGTGAGATTATTTAACATTAATCTCTTCTCGGCATTAACAAGCAGAGCTGCGGCTCACAGTCTTCGTCCAGGAAGTTGTACTGGACGTGCTGGCTGAAGAAGTCCTGGATGGCCTGGGAGATCTGCTCCTCCTGCTTCAGGATGTGCTGGTAGTACTGCGTGTAATCCCTCTGGGAGATTGCTGCGAGAGCAGGCAGACGGGCGAATGAGCCGAGCTCAAATTGGATTTTATAATTGCTTCAATAATTAGTCCATGGCTCCATTTTTATCCGGCCTGTGCGCCTCACATCAAACCCTGCTATTCTCATATTACTTAGGTACTCATATTCTTCATAAACAACCAGATGCTTCCATTAGGTCTTTTGGTTGCTTCATATAATAAAGTTAAAATGTTTTTTACCAATCAGCTTGTTTTCTTTGACGAAGCAGCGAAACTCTCCACCAGGAATCAACTCGCTCCACTTCCTCAGCACCAGCTGAGAACACAAACACAGCAGAGACGGTTAGAATCCAAAACGCTAAACTGTTAGCATCCAGGACATATACCCAGTAGTTTCAATCAGTGAATGCAGCTCATCAAACCAGCTGCTGTCTATGGTTTGATGCAAAACCTCGTGCTACGTTCAAGTTCCTCAGAAAAAATGTAATTTTCTCCAATCGAAAACTCTGATTCAGGTCAGCAGATAAGAAATATCAACCTTTTATTTGTTTGAGTAATTCACTTTTTTTTTTTTTTACATTTACGGTTTTATTATTATTATTATTATTATTTTTTGTTATAATTTAATTTCACTTTGAGATTAATAAAGAGTTTTTGAATTAAATTGAATTAAATTAAAGCTAGTTTAAATGTTGGAACAATTACAAGATATCTATAGTAAAAATTATTTATTTTAGCTGTGAATTGTTTTATTTTTATATATTTTCAAACCTTTAACCAATTTAATTCTAAAAATCCTCCTTGTCTTCTCCTTTGCAGCTCAGTTCACATGGGTGCGCTAACAGGGACAGGCCAGATTGCTCTGCTAATTAAACCAAACCAGCTGCTCTATTTATTAGGAAACAAACAAACGAACACAGTAGAGGAAGTTTCATTAAAACAAAACAGAATCGTCAAAATGAAGTAGCAGCTTATCTGAACACCCTGAATAAGACATCATATGACATTGTTTCGTCACAGTCCGATCTGTTACCTCATCGCTATTCAGCCACTGGACACAGAAATGTATTTCAATCCAACTGCAGGCGACCAGGAGATCAGGATTTTACTACGCTATGTGCTGCTCCTCATGGGAAATAGTGTCTTCCTTCAGGCAAAACAATACAGCTTTTTTCCACTGGGGGGAGCCAAAAGTTACCAAAACATTTTTTTTTTACTGCTTTAAAGGACAAATTAAAAAAAGATCTGGGAGGATATTGATATCAGACAAGTTGTTATGGACGTTGTTTTCTTTTGATGTACCCACTGGTCACCTTAAAAAAACCACCACAGTGCTGACATCGCTTCTCTGCTTCAGTTAAATACTCACAATACTATGCTTTCCCAATCGCCATCACCTGACCTAACAAACACCATGTGACCGACCTCCTAACGCTCCACAAACAAAAACAGCAGCTACATAAAAAATAAATATCCCATGTTAAACCGTTAACTGAACAGGTCATTGAAGTCTTTGTGAGCCTGTAATACCCCATACTGGCCTATGCTTCTGAAAGGGGAGTCGTTAGGGTCACTGTTGGCCTGCCTGACAAGGCCACATGTTTTTGGTCCCCTGCATAGCGATGGGGGCTGAGATGATAGCGGCAAGGAATCAACTCTATTGCTGCGCCATTCCTAAGGGGTGGACCTGTTGTTTCTGTTCAATTTGCATGTTCTCTTAGCAATAACAAGGCTTTGTTACAGTCAGATTGATTAAAGGTTTTCTATCTAAGGAAAACTAGTTGATTGCATCGACTCATTGACGCGGATGCAATCCCTCACACTAAGCATGCTTGTAGCGACAGCATGCTAAATGATCTAGCCTACTTTTCAGCACTACTTCTGATTTGGTTTTAATGATAGAATTATTTCTATTTACGGCCAATGGTGTCACCATCCTAATGAATGATTGTTTAATATTTAGTAAATCACCAGCCTTCCAAACCCTCTGCTTTTGACCTGCCCTGGTAACACCATGTCATTTCCTGTCAAGGTCTAGCTGTTGGCATTTCACAATAAAAGCACAGGTGGAACTTAACATGACTGCTGCTAAATTGCTCTCTATAAACAACTTTTGAATCGCCTTAGGGAGACCGTCATTTTTTTTTTTTAAAGCCCCAAAAACTCTGAGAAAAAGAGTCTACTTTGGTTCATCCAGATTCTGTCAGATTCGGTGGGACTTCCTTGTAAATCTAACCCCTGAGAAAGCACCAACGCTGGGCAAAATGCAATCCAGGAGTTTTATTTAAAGAACATTTTTTAAGTAATTTTGATATTTTTTTTATACTTTGTACAAATACATTTTTTAAATTAGTTTTTATATTTCATTTGTTTACAGATTTTCTTTTTTCAAAGGTTATTTTTTCAAAAACTTTCATCTTTATAGATTTTTTATTTCGGTTTTCTTTTTCAGTTTTCAAATTTTTTTTTTTTTTATCAGATCACATTCTCTTTATTTCAAGCCCTTTTGCTTAACTGATTACTAAATTAGTTGATAATTATTTCAGTAATTTATTACGATTAATCTGATTGTTTTCACCCTATTCTAGATATCCAGTTAAAACCAGTTTCTATTGTCATGTTTTTCATTAAAACATAAAATACCTTAAAATTGTTGATCAGCCAGAAAACTGCATTAAGTGCAGTTCTGTTTTAAACATCCTGCTTTTATTTCTCTAAATGTTTGATGCATTAAATAAGCCTAAATATGAATCAATTAAAAACAGAACATATTTCTAAATAAAGAGTAAAATACCTCATAACTGATGACAGGATCTGGAGAGTCTTGGTCGCTGCACTGAAGGAATCTATAGAACAAATCGCATCAAAGCCACTTAAATGCCTGGATTTAGCAGAGGTGGGTTAAATATGTTTCTTAAGCAGAACAGAAAATCCCTCTTCTGGCAGTGTCTGGTTTTCAGAGTGCAGCTTACGGCTGAGTGAGGTCGTGTGTGACGAAGTCGGAGCTTTTGAAGAGCAGGAAAATGTCGCTGAGGCTGCAGCACTGCAGCGAGCTGTTCAGAGCGATCCAGTTAGCGTCCTGTCAAAGATAACCGCGTTAAAACGCTGCTAAAGATCACAGCTGTGTGACGCATCGAGGTGATTTACCCGCGGAGCGCTCCAGTTGAGTTTGGGGAAGACACGCCCGCCCAGGGCGCTTATGGCCTCCTCCACCGTAGAGGTGAATTCTGGGAATTCAGGCGCCTGGCGGACATAAAACACAGAATATACACTTAAAGGCCGCTTTATTAGGTACGGCAGGCTTTCAATGGGTTTAGCTTCCAAATTCTTCTGTTTTGAGATAATTTTTTTCTTCAGCATGATTTCTGTGAGGTGTTAAATGTGCAGACTGACATGATGGCGTTATGTTATGGAGTGAAATCTGTTTCATTATTGCTGCAAAAAACACATTTCCTATATGGAGATTTAAAAAGAAAAAACGCATTCAAGACATGAAAGTTTGAAAGACTTTTAGTACAAAAGAAATTGAGAGTAATTTTACCGTTTTCTCATATTTGATTGTAATTTGTTTTTCATTTTTGGTATTTTATTAAAATTTTTAAGATTTTATTTTTCAAACCTTAATTTTTTTTTTTTGCATTATACTCTCGACCAATAGAAATGCCTCGTCCCTCTTCACTTCAGAGGAAAGCCCGCCCCCAGAGGTGGACAGAATGTGATTCATAGAATCTACTTTGAAAAGAATGCAGCTAATAAAAACACAATATGAAAAACAGAACTTTGAAAAGTAAAATAAAAAATATATATAAATCTGGAAAAAAAAAATTGTAAAGCAAAAATATATAAAAAAAACAATAATAAAAAACATTTTTGAAAAAATAAAATCTGTGAAAACAGCAAAGTTTCTCTCAAAACATTTTTTTAACCAAAAAGTTAAATTTTTGCATTTTTTAAATTCCAATTACAAAATGTCTTCTTTACAACAACATTGGAACAAAACTCACTCCATAATTTTCCTTTCTACGATCAAATATCCCGTTCTGCTGTTTTTAAAGGTGCTCTGTTATTTAGGCTCCTTTAATCAGACAGCTTGTATGTAAAAATAAATCTCAGCACATCAGCAGCTTCTGAAACTCTGATTGGAAGTTCGTGTCAACAAGTCACAGAACGGGTGTACCTAATAAAATGGCCAATGAGCATCAGCCATGAGAAAACACGCCTTCAATCATTTACTCACAGTGGCTGTGGCTGTCGTCTCATCATCCGACCACTAGAGGGGAGTAGAGAAGCAAAGAAGTCATTTTAAAATTAATTTAAACAAAATGAAGAAAAAAAAGAAAACACTGGAACGATTCATGAACTCCTTTATTTTGCTTTATGTAAACGTTTCCAAAAGGTTAGTGATGATGTTGCGCCAAGTGAAGATTCTAAAGCAGTGAAGAATAAATCATTTTTCCATAAGGATATATTCACAGTGTGATTAGTTAAGAGGAAATTTCATTTTATCAAAAATTTGAATCACATTTTGCCTTTTAAAAGCTGTTGTCTTCTCTGCTCATAACTTTTCGTCTCTTTTTTTCATTTACTCTTTTTTTTTTTTTTAAAGCTCTACTTAGAACCTTCTTAAGATCCAACAGTAAAATGAAAATTTTTTGCATTTCTTTAGCGGGTCTTACGGCTTAGATCAGGATTTCACTACTAAGTGGAAACACGGTGGTGGCAGCATCTTGCTGTGGTGCTGATATTTAGATAAAATAAAATCTAAATTGAGACTTTGAATAGATACATCTAAAAAGGAAGATTTAAATGCAGCAAAAATGAGCCTGGATTGGCAGGCGTCTCAAATTCACACAATAAAACAACAACAACAACAAAACAAACATCTTATATTCTATTTACAAGTTTTTATTTTGTTTTTTTTATTTTTAATTGCTCAGTTTTTGGGCCACCAAACCAGACTTTGTAGTCTAACCTCTTTCTTAATACTACAACTGTCCAGCAGGGGGAGCACACTGAAACATCTAAACTTTTTCCTTATTCAGCCATTCTGTTGGGAGATAAATGGATTCTTCTCTGGTTTTGGAGATGCTAACTTTTTTTCTTTTAAAGGGTTTTAATTGGCTGAGAAAATCTTCTTTAATGTCTTTTTCTCAGCCATGATTGAAACATATTGAAACCTGCAGCACAAAGTGAACAAAAATCCTAATCTGAGCCTTTAATAACCAATGCCTCCCTCTAATAACCCACTTTGACATTCTGTCACTTCGATTAATCAATGCTGCCATTTTAATGTCTTTTTAAACTTCTTTCCATTAAATAAAAACAACCTCTGAGTTCATATGATGACGATACTTATTGAAATCAAACAGAAAACAGTTAAACTCAATAAGTCAATAAGCAGAAACTCCTCAGTGCTGCAAGATCTCATAATTCACAATGCACAGCCGAAAACTACCGTAGCAACAACTTCTTCTCTTACCTGGATGTCCTCCTCAGCATCTGAGTCGCTGTTGTTGGATTGTATCGGCTGAGAGTTGTGATCACTAGGAAGACAACAGAAAGAGCTCCTGTTATAAAGGGATGAATCACATAAAACTGCAAACAAAGCGTCCAGAACCCAGCACTGTTCCACTAGTTACCCTCTTTCTTTGACACACTTTTATTTGACTCTGCATCGGACGCCTGCACCTGCCCCCTGCTCTCGCCACACGACACAACGTCATCTGCAAACGTAGTAATCCAGTGAGACCCGAGGCAGGCCTGATCCGTTACGTAAAGTAGTGATGGGTTCATGAGACGTCGTGAAGCGTTTCCACACAATGTTAAAATGCATCAATACTGCGTAGATACCGCCACTCAACAGGTGGCATCAGCCCTTCTCTACGCTGTGGTCTGCTGGGCCCCTGGCAGCGCAGAGCGGGACAGAAAGAGACTGAATAAGCTGGAGAGAAAGGCCATTTCTGTCCTAGGTTGCCTCTGTCAGATAAAGGCATGTTTTAGTCTCTATGCTCCAGTTAATGATTAATTCATTACTAAATTATTTGACAATTATTTCAATAGGTTGAAATGGATTAATCCGATTAATTGTTTCAGCCCTACTCTGATCACTAAGGCTTCAATCACACTGCAGGCATTAATATTCAATTCCGATTTTTGTGTGAAATCCAGTTGTTTTGCGTTGCTGTTCACATTTCCAAATATATGCAACTTGTATGTGATCTCCTGTGTGAACGCAGTTCACACAACTTAAGTGTCCCGCATGCGCAGTAGAGGATGCAATGATGTCACAAGTAAGTGTGCTCTGTGTTTACAGAAGTAAACATGGATGGTAGAGCTGGTGCGCATCTAGTGATCTTTCCCAACCTCACTAACCACACAATCCATCCAGGATGGTTGAAAATAAAGACTGCTCTCCGCATTAACGTCGACCATGGGTGTTGATGTTTTTCTCGCTGCTTCTGCGTAGCAAGACCCGGAACAGTGACCTTTGTCGAGTTTTAACTGCGTACAGATCAGATGAATGCGACCTAGCCGTACAAACACAGGTCGCATTGAAAGAGATCAGATACGTATTGGATTCAGGACCACATAGCCAAGTGGCCTCGGTCGCAGTGGAAAAAATAAATTGGATCTGTGTTGTTCAGACAGCCATGAAAAGATCAGATAGGCAAAAAAATTGGATTGAAATCTAGCCTTAGTGACTGATCTCAAAACTGAACAATCAGACCCGTTTTCCAATATGCATGAACCGTATATCATCATCAATAGCTCCTGCTAACACCTTTCAGATAAGACGTCTTTACAGAAGAAAACTGAAAATCAGCCGATTACAATTTCAGAGCGATTTCAAAGAAAAGTTTGCAGAATGGGTTTGATATTTTGGTCCATTCTGATCCAAATGAGCGATCAGGGCTTTATTGAGCTGTGGGACTCCAGAAGCAGTTGATGTGTACCAGCAGTCAAAGCGGCAGGTGGCTCGGCTGGTCGCTGAGGCAAAAACTCAGGCGTGGGAAGAGTTCGAAGAGGCCATGGAGAAAGACTTCCGTACGACTTCCGCAATCCGGTGTCTCAGGAGGGGGAAGCAGTGCAGTACCAACATTATTTATAGTGGGGGTGGTGTGCTGCTGACCTCGACTCGGGACTTCATATATCGGTGGGCGGAATAGTGTAATAGCAGCATTATTATTACTATTTGGTTAGGATTCTTTATCTATAATGACATGAAGTGAATTTTGTTTCATTATTGTTGGGAACAAAGAGCAAGTTTTGTAAATTCAAATTTAAAATAATAATGATACCAAAAAATGTACAAAGTGAAAAGAACTTGGAAAAGAAAACTCAACAAATATACCCCAATAAATATTAAGTCTGTAAAACAATAAAAAAATAATAAAACTGAAAAACGCAAAATAAATAAAGTGTAGAACAGTTAAGAAATTTTCATTTCAGCTTCATTTCTGGATTGCGTTTTATCTTTCAAGTTGTTATTCCCTTATTTTTTTCCCCCCCATCTACAAAACGCCTTCTTTGCTTGTTGCTGGGCAACCATATTCTCCACATGATGGATGCTGTCATGTCAACATTATACCGATTAATGCTCAGCATCGTTGTTAATGAAACCAACAGCAGCCCTGATTCCTGTTTAGTGTGATGTCATACCTTCCAGAGACTACCAACGTCCCATCGTCCAGTAAATAGTCTATTACATTCTGAGGCAGTGGCAGGATCAGACTGGAAAAAAGACACAGATCACTCAGGGATCATAAAAAAATACGATGGAATAAGGGCTTAACTTTAGAAAACATTCCAGTAAAACACACAAAAACAGAAGATGTAACTGAGTCTACTGTATTAGCATTGTTGCTAATGCTAGCCCTTAACAACTATGCAAACACGCTTCGACGTGATATAATAAACTTCTACTGTTCCTTTTCCGATTTCAACGTGTTTGTTTACCTTTTAATGGTGTGTTTCTTAAATATCGGATACCAAACCGAGAACTGACAGTGTGCAACTTGCTCTTTCTTCATGCTGCAACTTCCGGAGAGGAAGCATGTCCGTCACCAAATAACGTCCGGATCAAAAAAATAAATAAATAAATAAATCAATAAATAAATAAATAAATATCCGAGAGTATTTTGGTTAGAGCTGTTTTAGTTTATGTAATTAAAATGTATCTCTTATTTATCTAGTACTTGTGTTTTGTGTGGTTTTCAATAAGGATAATGTTTGGCTTTTTACGGAGGGAGACATCTTTGAGATGCACAAAGGGCGTGTTTTGGTACATAGATCGTTTATTTAGGTTAGATTTCCTTTGAAGCGTTTTATTAAATGGTAGTTTTCTCGTAGTTTGTTGTCCTTTCCCGCCTAAGCATTTCTTTCGGATTTTGGCATAAGTAATAAACCGTAAATGGGATTAATAAACTAATTCCTAGAAATACGTTAGAGGCCACATTATTTTTTTTTTTTTATCTTTTTTTTTTTTTTATTATTTGTTTCACAAATAACAGCTTCACAAACCAACAGCAAAATCCCCACACTGAAGCACAGTAATGGCAGCAGCATGCTGGTGTGGTTGGAGGTGATCCCGTGTCCCCTATCCAACCAATGCTGCCTTAGATAACACTTTATTGACAAATATTTGGCCAACAACTATGGTTTGTCTACTGATCCATGAATGAGAGCTTTAATAATGAGCTTTCCTTTAAAACTTGTTCTTACAACTGGCTTTTGGTTACTATAAACACTGGAATATGGTAAACCATTTCAGCTAAAGAGGTAAATCCAATGCAATAGTTCATAAGGCTGAAAATATTACATTCTAACACATTTTCTGTTTTGCATTATTCTGCTGTTTATCCATTTCTACATTATATCTAATTAAATGATATGAGGTTTGGGTTATCTGTCACTAATGGATAATCTTTGACTTTTTACAGAAGCAGCATTTTACATGAAAACGGTTTAACTCAATGTTTGTAAAATAATTGTGAGGGGAATTGTTTTTAAATAAAAAAGTACAGTTTTATTTAAAATAAAAAAACAAAAAGAAACGAAATAACTATCAAACTGTTTAAATTTAATTCAGAATATTTTTTTTTATTTAACATGGATGATTAATGTGACATGGAAAAATTGATGAAATGATCAGATGCTTGTAAATACAATACCTTTTTTTAATAATAACAAAACATTTTCTTATCCTATTTTATTGATCAGTGTATTTTTTAACCATAACAGTTCTCTAAAAAATATATATATAATATTTTTTATTGTACTACTTGTTTTATTTTTTTTACTTAAGTTTCTAAAATAAAAAGGAAATATATAGTATTTTTTATTGTACTACTTGTTTTTTTTTTTGTTGTTGTTGTTTTTTGTTTGTTTTACTTAAGTTTCAAAAATAAACAAAACACCGATGACGTTTGCCTACAACAGGAAGTGGTGTCAGAGTGAGTCATCTCTAGCATTTTACCCTCTCTGCTGTTTGTTAGGCACGGCTGGGATTTCACGTGAGTCAAGTTTAGTTTCTCTTAATTGAAAGAAAAACGTAAAATGCTTAATATAAAATAAAAATCCTTAAACTCCTGCCGCCATCGACTACAGATCGCACATTTTCTGTTTATCAGACAGAAAATCCATCTGAAGCGGATTCATGTGAACAGGGAGAACATTTATAGTTTTCTGTTGTCTTGTTGCAGCTAGCTGAAACAATTTTTAAACTTTCATAAGTAACTAATGACTTTAAAACTATATCATTTAAATGATATATTAACGGTGTTTTCTTTCTTTTCTTTCTTTTCTTTTTCTTTTTTTTGTACAGGCTTTCTGACTGGACATTCCTACATTTTCATTTAAAATGAGCAAACCTGAGGACCCCAAAGTGACCACAACACCACACATACTCAAAGAGGAGGTTTGTGGGGTTTTCTTTTATGAATAAATACTTAAAAATTACTTTTAAAGAGGTAATAAGTTGTTATTAGCAAATATTAGCGTGGTGATTTTTTCTTTTTTTTGATAACGTCACATGACGTCAAGAAATTAGAATAGAATAGAAAATCCCTTTATTGTTCCACAATGGGGACATTCTGATGTTACAGCAGCAGAAATATTATAGAAAAAAGGGTCGCACAAATGTGGACCTTAGAAGAGTGTATAAAACTAGCATAATAGTGAAGATTTAAAAGATAAACAATAAAATGCTGTACTGTAACATGTTTTAAAAATATAAATATTGTGCACCTGGAGAAAAAGTAACCAATATACAGCTATGAACATTTTTAAAGTAATGGATATTTGAAAATAGCAGCAACATCAGAGGTGTGGAAAATGAGGCATGTTATTTAACTGACTAAGGTAAAAACTGTGCAAAATTTACTTCATTTTCAGTTTATTTCTATAGCACCAATTCACAACACATATCATCTCAAAGCACTTTACAGTTCACCAGATCATCCAGTCAAATAGATTCAAAGTTTTCTGTCTAAGGAAAACCAGATGATTGCATCAACTCGTCGACTTGAATGCAATCCCTCACACTAAGCATGCTTATAGCGACATTGGAAGGAAAAAACACTCTTTTAACAGGAAGAAAGCATGAGCGGCCATCTGTCGAGGCTGACTGGGGTTCAAGAAAACAGAAGCAGAGATTTAATTAAAAAAAAAAAAACTGTGAAAGGCGGCCCCGTCCAGGAAACACACAACCAGGCAGACGAAATCTGGGCCAACTCCCATGTCAGACAGATCCAGGCAGTCACAATCAGAGAAACAGGACTACACTGGAAAACAGGCCAATCTCCAACATCTATAAAGAAAGGTGTTGATGGCAGCAGCACAGCTGATATTTCTCTCCAGGATGGAGTCACAGCCAAACAGGAACAGACCAAATGAAGCTACTTTGAGAAAAAGCAGAGAGAGCAGAACGTTAGAGATTGAACTGACAGATTCTGCAGAGTGGGAGAAAAGAGATAGAATGATGAAATGGGGTCCCTATGTCCTCCAGAAGTCTAAGCCGATATCAGCAAAATCAGCATGAATGTAACAACCTATTGAGGTTGTTGGGAACAGTGATGATCATAGAGTCTTCCAGCTGCTGGGAGGAAGGATCTGTGATAACGCTCCCTGGTGCATTTAGGGTGCAGCAGTCTGTCACTGAAGGAGCTCTCCAGTTCTGAACAGCTTCATGCATGAGGTAGAAGACATTATCCAACAGAGAGCTTAATTTAGTTAGGGTCCTTTTGTTTCCCACTTCCTGCACTGAGTCCAGATTATAACCAGAAATTTTAGAAAACTTTAAAAGAAAGATAATTTTTTCCAGTACTAGATCAAAATTACCATATAACCTTTTGCATATATAATCATGTTAACTCAAACTTGGCTTATAGATTGACAGGGACCCTGATTAGTATTTGATTTAATCAGCCACACGTTTGTTTTTGTTTTTTATTTAACCAGAGGGTCAGCATTTATTTGTTTGATTATCTCAGACTAATCAAAATGTTTAAACTGAGGTGTTTAACAGACGCTTCTGTTTAAAACGAGACAAAGCAGCAGTGTTTTCTTCAAATTTTACATTTTTCTCTGGGTTTTTTTGGTACCTGAAATATTTCAAAATAGCTAAATTTGTCTCGCTGTTTTAGAAAAATAAACTCTACATCCGATCTGTTGTTCCAGCTCTTGGCAGAAGGGAAATGGGTGAAGCTGGAACAAACCACGTACGTGGATCCTGCAGGAAACACCAGGTATGGTTCCATTTTCTCTCATATATGTCGGAATAAATAAATCAGCAACTTATGGTGTTTTTCCCCTCTGATGTTTGTTTTCAACAAGAACCTGGGAGACTGTGAAGCGGACCACCAGAAGGACCAATACAGAAGCAGATGGTGAGTACTGGCTGGCTGGTTGGTTGGGTGGGTTGATGGTTTCCTAGCTGCTCAGAGCTTGGAGGTTTTTGCAGGTGTTGGAATCATCGCGCTGCTGAAGCGAACGCTGCATAAAGACTGCGTAGTGATGGTGAAGCAGTTCCGTCCTCCTCTGGGATGCAACACCCTGGAGTTCCCAGCAGGTCAGAGCAGCTTTTCTTCTGGATTAACCTTTTAGATTCTGATAAATCTGTGTGGTAAAGTTTGGACTTTAACGTGTTTAGGATTGATCGACGAAGGAGAAACAGCAGAGGCGGCTGCGCTGCGGGAGCTGAAGGAAGAAACTGGCTACAAGGGGGAGGTAGTGGGAGTCACTCCAGGTATCACAGTTTGATTGCATCAGTTCCCTTATCTCATGCGAGGAACACAGAGGGTCAGAGGTTAATCAGAAAAGTGTCTTAGTATCTGAAGCTGTACATGTTGTGACTGCAGTGACCTGCCTGGACCCTGGCCTGTCTAACTGCACCACCCAGATCGTCCTGGTCAACATTAACGGAGACGATGTGCAGAATATCCATCCGACTCAGCAGCTGGGTGAGGACACTCTCATTATGTGGACACTGGAGTCACTTCTTGGGCTTTTAATGAAAGGAAAACCCTAATATAAAATCTAAGAGGTTTAACTTAATCCTATATAATTAAAAAAAATAAAAGCATTAGACATTAGATGTGCAATTAGCTGGTGTGAAACAGACAGATGTGGTTTGTTTTTCCCCCCCCCAAAAAATGGAAAGCGTAAAAATTAGAGCATGGCAGATTTAGATCTAACCTCAAATTATCCTTATTTAGTATTACAGTCAAAGATGGAACTAAAAACTTAGTCAGAGTCAACCTTTTCTACTGACATGGCTTCTGCAGAAAAGGGTTATTGATCAGTGGAGGACTCATAATACAAATAAATGGCAAATAAAAAAACATAATTTAAATAAAGATTACCAAATAATTTGTATTGAAACAACAAATTATTTGTGCCATATAAAGAGATATATGTTTTTAAAAGTAGTTTTAAATATTTTAATATAGTCATAATAGTGGGATTAAAGTTGTTAAATCATAAGAATAAAGTCATAAAATTACAAGGTGAAATTTGAAACGTTACACGATTAAAATCCTAACATCACAAGATTGAAATATAATATTACCACATACAACGTCACAACGTTAAGAGATTAAAGTTGTAACATTGCAAGATTTAAGACGGAATATTACCAGGAAAAGGTGTAACCTTAAAGTTGTAGCATTGTAAGATTAACAATATAATATTATCAGAAAAAGTCATAACATTAAGAGATTAAAGTTATAATATTCCAAAAGAAAAGTCACAATATTACGAGATTAAATTTGTAGCATTTAAAGATACAATATTACCCAAAAGGAGATTGAAGTCATAGTGATAAGAGATTAAAATCATAGCGATAAGAGATTAGTCATAGCGTTAGGAGATCAAATCGTAGCGTTAGGAGATTAAAGTCGTAGCGTTACAGGACTAAAGATCCAATAGCAACCCAAAAAAAGCTGTAACATTAGGAGATTAAAGTTGTAACATAACAGGATTAAAGTCACAGCATTACAGGATTAAAGATACACTATTACCCAAAAAAGCTATAGCAATAGGAGATTAAAGTCATAACGTTACGAGAGTAGTCGTAGTGATAAGAGATTAAAGTCGTAGCGTTAGGAGATTAAAGTCGCAGTGTTACAGGAATAAAGATACAATAGTACCCCAAAAAAAGTTGTAACATTAGGAGATTAATGTTGTAACATTACGGGATTAAAGTCACAGCATTACAGGATTAAAGATACACTATTACCCAAAAAAGATATAGCAATAGGAGATTACAGTCGTAATCTTACAAGATTAAAGTCATAACTATTAGAGATTAAAGTCATGGAGCTAGGAGATTAAAGTCGTAGTATTACAGGACTAAAGATACAATAGTACCAAAAAAAGCTGTAACATAAGGAGATTAAAGTTGTAATGTTACGGGATTAAAGTTACAGCATTACAGCATTAAAGATACAATATTACCCAAAAAAGCTATAGCATAAGGAGATTAAAGTCATAGCGATACAAGATTAAAGTCATAGCGATACAAGATTAAAGTCATGGAGTTAGGAGATTAAAGTCGTAGTGTTACAGGACTAAAGATACAATAGTACCAAAAAAAACTGTAACATTAGGCGATTAAAGTCATGGCGTTACAAGATTAAAGTCATAGCATTCACAAATTAAAGTCGTAGCGTTAGGAAATTAACGTAATAGCGCTACAGGACTAAAGATACAATTGAACAAAAAAAAGCTGTAACATTAGATTAAAGTCGTAGCGTTACAAGATTAAAATCGTAGCTTTAGGAGATTAAGGTCGTAGCACTAGGAGATTAAAGTCATAGCGTTACAGGACTAACGATGCAGTAGTGCCATAAAAAAGCTGTAACAGATTAAAGTCGTAGCGTTACAAGATTAAAGTCGTAGCGTTACAAGATTAAAGTCGTAGTGTTACAAGATTAAAATCGTTGCGTTACAGGACTAACGATGCAGTAGTACCATAAAAAAGCTGTAGCATTAGATTAAAGTCATAGCGTTAGGAGATTAAAGTCATAGCGTTACAGGACTAACGATGCAGTAGTACCATAAAAAAGCCGTAACATTGTTAAAGTCGTAGCGTTACGAAATTAAAGATACAATATTGCCAAAAAAGCTGTAACATTAGGAGATTAAACCAGTTCAGATGCTCGGCTCATCTGTTGATCTTGGCTGAAAGATCAACAGATTTTATTTTATTTAAGCGACTCCTTTGTCTCATAATATTACTGTTTTATTTCATATTTATTAAAAGAATCAGCCCAATTATGGCTCTAATACTCTGTGGTTAATTGGGAAACATCTGGAGGAAATCATTTTTATTATTAGGCTATAATTTGTTTTTACTATCACAGTGTGTAAACAGAAACAAAATGGAGACATTTGGTGAAAACAAAACGCCTCAGAGCTCCATGACTTACATGTAAATTACATGCAGTGTTTGTCTCCCTCACTGGGTTAATCCTGCTCTCCTTTGCTCTCTTTTAGGTGATGGAGGTGAGTCCCATCTTTATTTCCACAGATACATTCCCCTCTCCACGTAAACTTTCACACAGGCCTCACTCTTCCTTTCCAGAGTTTGTTGAAGTTATCCTTTTACCACTTGATGAGTTCCAGTCCAAAGTCGACGGTAGGTTTTCAGAACAATCTCAACACAGACAGGTAATTTTCCTGAGCATTTATAAAACGGTGAACTAGAATGTAAACCAAGATGGTTGTTATTTCATCAGTTTCAGGTATTACTAAAAAAATCTATTTATAGTGACTAATAATTGCTGTTTAAAAGCATATTAACGGAAAGTTCACTGGAAGGAAAAACTATGGTAAGGAAATTCTTGAAACTAATTACTGTTTATAATAAAGCTTGACCATCTGAGTTTTACTCTGTAAGTTAAATGACTTATTTTTAAAGTTTAACTGATGATTTCTCAGGTTGCTAAGTATTGTTTGTGTTGATGCTCGGCTGGGTTTATCCACAGACCTGCTTCAGAAAGAGAAGATCATCGTGGACTCCAAGGTTTACATCTTTGGTATGGGAATGGCTCAGGCCTTCTTCAAGCCCAGGGAGCTGCCCGTCCTGAAGCAGTGACAGAAACAGCCTCTCCTGTTCCTCTCGCCTGGGAAATAACGGATCTTAACATTCCGTAGAAAACACGTGGCTTTGTGCTTTTAAAACTCAATAAATCTGACACTCAAATGCTGTTTTTTGTTAGTTGTTTTCAACTTAAATGTGAAGAAACAATAAAAGCCATTAAGCCTTTTGAGGTTGTGTAACAACAGTAGCTTTTGTCGGTCTTCAGTATTATTTTCCCTGAGTAATGGCGATTACTAACCCTCGTCTTTTAATGATGATAAACCCTTTTTATGTTGCTTTTTCTGGAAACATTCCTTAATAATTGCTAACATTCGATTGAAACCTTTCGGAGAATATGACCTTTGTTGTTGAAATGGTTTTGATGATAACAAACCTGATGATGCACTAACGGGTGTTTAGATGTACGGTTATTGCTGCAGAACGCTGCAATGAGCTGAACAACATGTTACTGACTAATGAATAAAAATTATAGTCTTTTTGTCATGACTGGGTTGTGCTTTTTGGTTACTTTTCTACGACAGACTATTAGGACCAGGCTAGAGATTTTTTTTTTCTATTATGAAACTAAAGTTGTAACATTACATCATAAAATTCTGAGAATAAAGTAACATTATGAGAATAAAGTCATAAAATTACAAGAATAAGCTTGTAACATGAGAATAAAGTTATAGGAGCTATTTTCCCTTTTACAGTTTTCTAGTTTTTCAGTAATTTCGTTTAATTTGTTATTTAGAATAGGATTTGTTTAGTGATTCACTTAATCAGTTAATTGATTTTAGCTTGGGATGTGGGTGTTTCACAGTACAAACAGGGAGGTCTTAGGTAGCTGATTATGCATGTGGGTGGTCGTCTTTTTTTTTTTTTAATCAGTTTTCAGTTTCAGCCAGTTTTGCCATCAATTGTCAGTCTGCCAGTCAAACAGTCAAAGAACAGGTGCAGGAATCAGATTGACAGCAGTAGCAGAATCCTGTGAAGCCTGTAAGCTGTTTTGTTTGACCGCAGAATAAAACAAGCAAAGAAACTGGATTTTGACCCTTTTGGATTGTGTAAGCCAGAATCCACAGTGCATCAGGTGACTATGAGTTAAATTCACCTTTTGCTTTGATCACCTTTAAGTGTTAAGTTTTTTTGAATTTGAGTTTTGTACAAATAGTCACTACAAAAGTCATACAATTATAAGAATAAAGTTAAAATTAAATGGATTAATTATTGTTAAAGCAGTTATTTATTTCTGATTTCACTGAAGACTCATAGATGACTTGCAGACACATCATTTTCTCTTTACCCCATAAGAAGAAAATCTAGTTCTGAAAAGAGCATGAATTCTG